ATTTTGTGGGATGTTGGATTGTTGGAAGTTGGAACGTTGGAACGTAAGAAATTCCCGCGGAAGTTTTAAAGAAAATTTATAAAAATAATTCGTAAATTCAAATAAAAGATATATTTCAACTTATTTTTATATTAGAACTTCTACTATGTTATTTGATTCAATTCTCCATGGCAACAATAAATAAAGTTACATAGTTACTTGAAACAAGTAATTGTTTTACTGAAAATGTGTGTGTATTAAAAAAAATACTTAAATAAAAAAAAAATACTTATAATAATTTTACTCACTTGCTGTTTTAAGTAAAAAGAAATTACTTGAATTTAGTAAAATATTTAAAGAACTACACATATTTATTTTTTCTTACTAAAATACAGTATGAAAGTTACTGAAATCACTTCTGATAACTTGGAAATAAAACTTCTAAATACTTTGTAGTCTTTGGCACTACACAATGTCGTTTTCTTGCATAAGGTTTAATAATTTTTAATAATAAATGCTTCCTATGAAATTTGACTTCATAATTTTACAGTTTCAACATATGTAGGTTTCACAGTCTGAAAATTGCATAAGTTTGGATAATACTTTGAAATACTTAAAAAATTGCTTTGGATACTTGGTATTACTTAGAATTTTACTTCAAATTACTAAAAATGATAACTTGATATTACTAGCCATTACTTAAATTATTTTCATATCAAAATATCTTCAAGCTATCATTTGTCATTTTTGATATAATTTTTATAATATAAACTTGGTCTTACTGAAATTGATACCTATTGGCTATCTATAATAGATGTACAAAATTGTATCATATTTCAAATATTTAATAAGTAGTATTTGATTTGAGACTGAAAAACTTCAGCCAATCAGAATTAAACTTTCATTTGACTTTGGTAAGCTATTTTTGAAAAATTGCTGGAACTCATTCAGATTTGAATTTGAACAAAAAGTATACTGAGTTTGTTGAAATACTTGCACGTTTGACAAGCATGAAAGGAAAGGAGAAATTTACAAAAAGGACACTTTGTGGGTATTCATGTTTCTGGCTACTCTTTGTGTAATATTTCAATTAAATGAAAATGTAGCACAAAGAGTTGCTTGGAGGTAGCCCATGTTAACTTACAACAAACAAAAATAGAAATGGAATAAAACAAAGGATATAGTATATTATCATTCTTTGAAAGGTATGTTACTTTTTAAAATTACAGTGTATATGCATTTATAATAAAACAGTGTAGAAATTTTATTGTTATCTGTATATATTGTAGCGAGCCAGGGGTTGACTAACCAAACAGAAAACAAAATTTAAATCTCTGTATTCCAACCACTTGGAAAAGTATAAACTCTAGACTTACTGACAAGACTGAATATTCTACTAAATAAATGATAAGTTGTTCTCCTGCTTTAATAAAAATCCGGACAATCAGATTATGAATTCAGCTAATGTATATTCAGCTAATGTATATATCCTGGTGAAAAGAACACCAAACAAGTTATTGAAGTTTCCATTTTTTTTATTATGTATGTAGTTTCATATACTAGTACATCAAATATGTATTTCACAGTTTGTACAGTAATTATAATATAATCCCGAAATTTTTTAGCACCTCTCTAACCCTCTCTAAACCAGTTCCGGAGTTCCAAATAAAAATGTAGGAACTCTATCTTTTGAAAATATGTCACAGTTTCAAAATTGGTACACAAAATACATTATTATCTTAAAATTCATGGAAAATAGGTGGTTGTGATCTCAATCCCATATAATACTCTATAAGGAAATGTACTGATATATATACGAACTTTTACACGTGTGAGTCTTGCTACAATATAATTTACTTATTTAAACTATCATTTCTATATATATATAAAGTTTTAATAATTTCTATAGAAGGTAATCAGAAACCTTTTCTGATTAAGATAATTTAAGTTTAGAAAACTGATTCCTTATCAGTTCAAAATATGTTTTAATTACTGTCAGGCTCTTCCTGATACAGTTAAAAATGTTGTTTAAAGAAATACTGGCAGGTCCTTCCTTACACAGTATTCCAAAAATATCAAGGCAACTGCCAGGTCCTTCCTGAAACAGTACCTATTTTAGATATCAGTTAGATCCTTTCTAACTGATATCGAATTTAAATATGGTTTCCACACCTTATGGAAACCATAATACCTATTTCCAAATATTTCCTATTTTCTATTAAAATTTAAGTGTGTTTAAAATACAAACATTAACAGATTAACTTCAAGAAAACTAGATCTATTACAACTGAAACATTTGCCTGCAAAATCTATAAAAATTAACTGAATACGGTTTGAAAGTTTTTGCTACAGTTTCCTAAATTTAACTCAATATGACTGTTAAGAACAAAAGATAAAATTCTTAAGAGCCCGGCTCCTAAAAGTCCGCTTAAATTAAGTTCTACTTTTAAAATTAAGAAAACATTGTTTTTACCCTTCTAATAATTTCTCTTACTAATAAAATTTTGTTTAAAGTAAAGAAAATTTCGTAATTTGCCTAAAAATTTACGTAAGCCAAAATTTCTGCCCTAGCTAGCCAAAGTTTTAAGCAAGACTAACGTTTCAGCGTTGTTTTACGCCACTCGTTGGATTTTGTGGGATGTTGGATTGTTGGAAGTTGGAACGTTGGAACGTAAGAAATTCCCGCGGAAGTTTTAAAGAAAATTTATAAAAATAATTCGTAAATTCAAATAAAAGATATATTTCAACTTATTTTTATATTAGAACTTCTACTATGTTATTTGATTCAATTCTCCATGGCAACAATAAATAAAGTTACATAGTTACTTGAAACAAGTAATTGTTTTACTGAAAATGTGTGTGTATTAAAAAAAATACTTAAATAAAAAAAAAATACTTATAATAATTTTACTCACTTGCTGTTTTAAGTAAAAAGAAATTACTTGAATTTAGTAAAATATTTAAAGAACTACACATATTTATTTTTTCTTACTAAAATACAGTATGAAAGTTACTGAAATCACTTCTGATAACTTGGAAATAAAACTTCTAAATACTTTGTAGTCTTTGGCACTACACAATGTCGTTTTCTTGCATAAGGTTTAATAATTTTTAATAATAAATGCTTCCTATGAAATTTGACTTCATAATTTTACAGTTTCAACATATGTAGGTTTCACAGTCTGAAAATTGCATAAGTTTGGATAATACTTTGAAATACTTAAAAAATTGCTTTGGATACTTGGTATTACTTAGAATTTTACTTCAAATTACTAAAAATGATAACTTGATATTACTAGCCATTACTTAAATTATTTTCATATCAAAATATCTTCAAGCTATCATTTGTCATTTTTGATATAATTTTTATAATATAAACTTGGTCTTACTGAAATTGATACCTATTGGCTATCTATAATAGATGTACAAAATTGTATCATATTTCAAATATTTAATAAGTAGTATTTGATTTGAGACTGAAAAACTTCAGCCAATCAGAATTAAACTTTCATTTGACTTTGGTAAGCTATTTTTGAAAAATTGCTGGAACTCATTCAGATTTGAATTTGAACAAAAAGTATACTGAGTTTGTTGAAATACTTGCACGTTTGACAAGCATGAAAGGAAAGGAGAAATTTACAAAAAGGACACTTTGTGGGTATTCATGTTTCTGGCTACTCTTTGTGTAATATTTCAATTAAATGAAAATGTAGCACAAAGAGTTGCTTGGAGGTAGCCCATGTTAACTTACAACAAACAAAAATAGAAATGGAATAAAACAAAGGATATAGTATATTATCATTCTTTGAAAGGTATGTTACTTTTTAAAATTACAGTGTATATGCATTTATAATAAAACAGTGTAGAAATTTTATTGTTATCTGTATATATTGTAGCGAGCCAGGGGTTGACTAACCAAACAGAAAACAAAATTTAAATCTCTGTATTCCAACCACTTGGAAAAGTATAAACTCTAGACTTACTGACAAGACTGAATATTCTACTAAATAAATGATAAGTTGTTCTCCTGCTTTAATAAAAATCCGGACAATCAGATTATGAATTCAGCTAATGTATATTCAGCTAATGTATATATCCTGGTGAAAAGAACACCAAACAAGTTATTGAAGTTTCCATTTTTTTTTATTATGTATGTAGTTTCATATACTAGTACATCAAATATGTATTTCACAGTTTGTACAGTAATTATAATATAATCCCGAAATTTTTTAGCACCTCTCTAACCCTCTCTAAACCAGTTCCGGAGTTCCAAATAAAAATGTAGGAACTCTATCTTTTGAAAATATGTCACAGTTTCAAAATTGGTACACAAAATACATTATTATCTTAAAATTCATGGAAAATAGGTGGTTGTGATCTCAATCCCATATAATACTCTATAAGGAAATGTACTGATATATATACGAACTTTTACACGTGTGAGTCTTGCTACAATATAATTTACTTATTTAAACTATCATTTCTATATATATATAAAGTTTTAATAATTTCTATAGAAGGTAATCAGAAACCTTTTCTGATTAAGATAATTTAAGTTTAGAAAACTGATTCCTTATCAGTTCAAAATATGTTTTAATTACTGTCAGGCTCTTCCTGATACAGTTAAAAATGTTGTTTAAAGAAATACTGGCAGGTCCTTCCTTACACAGTATTCCAAAAATATCAAGGCAACTGCCAGGTCCTTCCTGAAACAGTACCTATTTTAGATATCAGTTAGATCCTTTCTAACTGATATCGAATTTAAATATGGTTTCCACACCTTATGGAAACCATAATACTTATTTCCAAATATTTCCTATTTTCTATTAAAATTTAAGTGTGTTTAAAATACAAACATTAACAGATTAACTTCAAGAAAACTAGATCTATTACAACTGAAACATTTGCCTGCAAAATCTATAAAAATTAACTGAATACGGTTTGAAAGTTTTTGCTACAGTTTCCTAAATTTAACTTAATATGACTGTTAAGAACAAAAGATAAAATTCTTAAGAGCCCGGCTCCTAAAAGTCCGCTTAAATAAAGTTCTACTTTTAAAATTAAGAAAACATTGTTTTTACCCTTCTAATAATTTCTCTTACTAATAAAATTTTGTTTAAAGTAAAGAAAATTTCGTAATTTGCCTAAAAATTTACGTAAGCCAAAATTTCTGCCCTAGCTAGCCAAAGTTTTAAGCAAGACTAACGTTTCAGCGTTGTTTTACGCCACTCGTTGGATTTTGTGGGATGTTGGATTGTTGGAAGTTGGAACGTTGGAACGTAAGAAATTCCCGCGGAAGTTTTAAAGAAAATTTATAAAAATAATTCGTAAATTCAAATAAAAGATATATTTCAACTTATTTTTATATTAGAACTTCTACTATGTTATTTGATTCAATTCTGCATGGCAACAATAAATAAAGTTACGACTGCGCCACCGGAAATAGCGGCTAGTCTGGGAGAACAAAACGTGTGTGTTAGCGGCTGACAATAATCACAGAATTCGCCGCTAAAACAACTTGACAACTTATAAAAACTATATGAATACTTTATATTCAACTCATGGATCTACGAAATGCCGGTGAGCACGACTGTGAAAGCGTTAAATTAAAAATCGAACTAATAATCATCAACAATTAGGTTGACATCTTATAACCACTGCGCATGAGCAGGAATTTACACATTAATTCATAAAGATCAACACTCAGAACAGGTGCTCGTAATTTACATTTCATAGTCTACAATGGAAACAACGATTCAATCAAGTGGACTGATATCAGGAATAACATTTCTTCATACAACAATCACAGTTTATTTACAACACGCATAAAAATAACGTATTTCTTACAGTTACACTACAGTCTATATGGATTGACATCAGCACATGTTTAAAAATGCAAATTAAGTTTGGAACGAGGCAGCAGACGACACTTTAGCCTTATGGAACAAGAGGAAGATGGACAAAAGTTTCAACAATTTCAAATGAATTAACATTGAAGCTATATGATTACACAAGAGTTTGTGATATATAACAGATGTTCTGGGAAGTATGTCATCCCAATTTATTTAAGCTATGAAAAGTTTCAAAGATTTAAACTGTGAAAAGTGAAAACTTTATGTGCAATTAATATTTCAAAAATGAGAATATTACAGTGATGAAATTTCTAGTCAATAATAAAATTGAATAAAATATGTTCTATTTCTGTTATGTCACTGTTTGTGTTCTAAAATGTACAAAAAAAATATGACTGAAAATACTTTAAGCTGCTTGTCATAACAACACATTTCATATGGTGAACATTCAAATAAATAACATCATAAATCTAGGCACAATTCAAAATATACAATTCAAACACTGACTTGTCATATAACACACACACAATAATATCAACAACAAAATTCTTATACATGTATGAGTAGGGGCTTGTGTCTTACATTTTACCCCCCAATAAAACAGTTAGCGTCCTTGCAAATGTTTATAATTACCAAAAAAAATACATAGGTTTTAATTTATTGTTTCTATATTTTCAGGTTGAAAGTTACAGATTAACAGTTTAACTGCAGTCCATTTAGAAACCAGATCAGATGTGTTTTAAAGAGCATAGCAATACTACACTCTATAAATACAACCATGTTTCGTGAACGACTTAAAAATTACCCTTGGAATCCTAGAATGAATTCATGTACTTATGGACTTGACATTTAGATTACTTCAGAATACTAAACAACAAATATATGACTATCCTAAGAATGATTGAAATGTGACAGAGTTGAGGATGCTTAAAATTACTACATGTACATATGTACATATTATTCTACAAGAAAATTAAGAAAGTTTATCATGCCATGACAGATTATGAAGAAACCTGAGGCTGTTGAACAAAGATGGTATAAGTCATGAGTTGCCTTTATAAGGAGAATTGAACATTACAGTTTTTTTCAAAAAGATATCTCTAAAGTGGCAGACTAAAACTTTAAATATTTGAAAAAATTACACCACAAACAATCTAACCGACCACCGAAAAGAACATAATTTCTAGCTTGACAATTTTACTTAACAAATTTTTCTTTACAATACCAATTCAAATGTCAAATAAGTTAAGTTCTATAGATACATTTTTCATTAACTATTGATACTAAAACAAATTAGTTAAAAAATTTTAATAATTAAAATTACTGAACGTAGGCCAAAATTTAAAAGTTCTAGAGATAAGCAAATACAATAAAAACTAAAGTGAAAGTTAATTACTGTTTTCTTTACTGTCGGCATTCTTCTTTTCCACAACAGATTTCAATTTAGGTTGGTTGGGTCTATTCAGGTTGTTTCCATATGGGTTCCTTCTAATAGGCTTGAATGGACAGGTTAGACAACCTGTCTAGGATGGTCTGTTGTCGACCATGCACCCTCTCAGGTAAGCAATGTCCGTAGAAAGGGTTTTTATTGACTTTGTATTGTGGGCTATTTCCTTCAGTAGTAATTCCTGTGTGGTTGTAAAAGTTGACAATGCCGTTAAGATCTGCTGGTTAAAGTTAGATGCTGGAGGTTGGTTAATAGAAGGTGAAGGAGTCTGCACTACTGGTTGACAAGGTTGAGGTTTTGTAGTTGAAGTTTGGGGTGCCTCAGACCCCAAAATTTGTGGCAGAATGTACTCCGCATCTTCGTCCTGTATGAGATTCTGATCAAAGATATACTGCACTGAAGATGAAATTTCAGGCGAGTATGGATCTTGATCAGGACTCGTCGAATTTGACATTGGTGTTTCAGGTCTCTGGGATGATTCTGGAAATTTCATGGTGGTAGTTACAGGTACAGTTGAGTAATGACTGACGGAAGTGACAGGTGATATTGATGTTGATACAGATGGTGTTTCTAACGGCAAGTAGTGGGAAATGACAGATGAAGTGGTTGTTGAGTGGTCTGCAGTGGAGGTCATAGTAACATCTGGCATAAAAAAAATCATACAGGTCATCCATTGGAGATGCTGAACTCCAATGGCATGACCTGGTTAGCTGATGGTCTTACTGCTGTGGTAGGGATGTCAATAAATGAAGATGGCACTGCAGGGCTAACTGGTGTGGTAAAGAGGTGGTGTTCATATAGACTGGGTGTCCTAACCTGGACTGCAGGGATGGCTGTGGTCAAGCATTAGTTACATGGTAGCTGCTGTTAGTTGGGTAAGGGTGAGTGGCTGGTAGAGCCGCTACCTTTACTAGAGCCTTGGTCTGAATATTGTGAGTGGCTGGTAGAGCCGCTGCCCTTACTGGAGCCTGGGTCTGATTAGGGCGAGTGGCTGGTATAGCCGCTGCCCTTACTGGAGCCTGGGTCTGATTAGGGTGAGTGGCTGGTAGAGCCGCTGCCCTTACTGGAGTGGCCAGAGGTCTTGCACGGACCTTAGAAGCCCAATGCCTCTGTGAATCCATTTAGATAAGACCTCATAGTCAGGAAAGTCTGGTAAAGCATTAAAAACATGAGGTTGGGAACTGGTGAACAAGTATTCAGAGTCTCCTCTGAATCTGTTCTCTGTGATGCATAAATTTCTTTGGTTTACATGTGGCATGAATGTGTCCACATGTTTGTGCAAGGTTTTCAATGATTCAATCTGTACATGCACAGGGTACAGAAGAATGGAGCCACTTCTAGAGCAAGGTGCCTCTTGTAGATATGGACCTCCATACGTGTTTTCTCGGCCACGTGGGCTTCTTCTGTGGGGGGACATCTCAAGCATCTGTAGGCCAAGCCTCTTTTTGTCATACGGATTTGTGAAGACATCTGAAAAATAAGGGCAGATAAAAGTCTCCTATTTAACACAGGGACTCGCCCGTAGTAAAAGTTCCTATATATCAGTTTGCCCCCAAAAAAATCAGATCACAACCATCCTAGTAAATGACCTATTATTTTGGTTATTTTAATTTAGGAACACATGACCTTTGTGGCAATTGTGTTGAATTCTGGAAAGCTTATCTGATACTTTTGCTGATTTAAGTTTACATGTATGTATAAAAAAGTTGGCATAAAAGAAATTAGACTTCAGTCTAATTATAAAACAATGACCAAAGTACATACGACTTTGCAAGGTTTAAAGTTGACAAACTTTAAAAGTACATGTGACCTCCCAAGGTCAAATATATAGCAATAATAATAACAAAATACACTGACTTAAATCCAAGTCAAACTTATTGTCAAGGACAATAGTTACACATGTAGGACATAAATATAAGGATTTCAACAAACATATTTTATAAATTTGTGTGTGTAATCTAAACAATGTTTTGACTGGTCAAAAGAAGTCAGACTTTAAACTTTTTAATCCATCTGGGGTGGGATTGACCATTATAGGGTTTCAGTTTGTCATGATTGACAACTTTCCTTTTGCTATTGGCATCAATTTGAATATCATTATTCAGGTCATTTATTTTCTTGGTCACTAGACAAGGACCAATAAAAAGGGGTTGTTATTTAGGACATATTCCTTCCCTTTTAATCTCATTACGATACCACACCTTATCTGAGACTTTATATTCATATAAATTGGTTTTATTGTCAGAGTAGTCTTTTCGCCTTTTACAGTTTACTTCCAAATGTTTTCGTGCAACACAGTGTGCACGTTGCATTCTTTCTTTTATTTTTAGGGCATGAAGTACATGAATCAGCTTCATTTGTGTCCAGGGGGTGCCCTTTATGTATTAATTCGTATGGTAGTCTAACTTCCCTTCCCAACATAAGTATATTTGGGGTCAGGCATGTAGACTCATTCGGACTAGCTCTGTATTCACCTGCTAAACAGCCCAAGTTCATGTCCCAATTGGTCTGTTCTCCCCTAAGGTAGGATTTTATCATGAATATTATACTACGGTTAAATCTTTCCGTTTGTCCATTACATTTTGGATTTCTAGGACTTGTTCTAGTTTTCCTTATTTCCAGAATTTTATACAATTCCTGAAAAAATTGACTTTTGTAGACACGGCCTTGATCAGAATGGATAGCCAAGGGACTGCCAAAACGACATATGACTTCATTCCAAGATCAACTGTGCACATACAACAGCAGTCTGGTCTTTAACAGGAAAAACCTCAACCCACTTTGTAAAATAGTCGGTCACAGTTAAAATAAATTTATTGCCTCTAGGTGTGGTGGGTAAGGGACCTAGAAAATCAGTGGCTAATCTATCAAGTGGTGCACCAACAAGCATGGTTCCTAGTGGGGCTCTTGAGGACTTATAAGGGGGTTTATTTGCACCACATATGTCACATTGGCTAATCCAGATGTCTATATCCTCCCTCATTTCATACCAAAAGTATCTCTGGGATAATTTGGTTTTTTTTCTTTTTGCCTAAATGGCCTGACAATATAGAATTATGCATCTTTTCTAAAATTTCCCTTTTGAGTAGGAGTGGGACTAAAAACTGGGTATGGTCCTCTACACCATCTCTTCTACTAAATTGTTTATATAACAGTCCATTTTTTTTTATTACAATGGAATCCCATATGTGCCAGTAATGTCGAGTTGCAGCACTGTTTTGTTGTATATCAGAATTTGTTGGTCTGTGACCACTTTCCTTCTATTTAAGGAGTGGTCCTAAATCGGGGTCATTTTCTTGCATTTTATGCAACTCAGTTTCAGAATGTCCACCCTCCCAAGGTGTCCAAATATTTTGGTCCTTCTGTTGTCTGGTTTTAACCATACATATGGGGGCTGTAATTATTTCATTACTAGGGACTAGGTCATCTTTATTTTGACCTGTTATTGTCTGGTTTAGCATCTCTGACAAATTCACCAGAGAGATATCCATATCAATTGCCCTTTTGTGGCATTTCTTACAGGGGCCACATTTTAGAAAATCCAAGTTATCAACTTGGGAACAGTCACATTCACGGGGATTATGGCATCTGGACATAGCGTCCGCATTGCCATGTTTTATACCGGGACGATACTCTTCCGAAAAATCTCTAACCATCTGGCAACTCTGCCTTTTGGTTCTTTTAAACTAAATAGCCAAATTAAGGCTTGGTGGTCTGTTCTGACACAGAATTTCCGTCCCAATAAATATTGTCGATAGTATTCAACAAAATGTCGGACAGCTAACAGCTCCTTGTCCGTTACGCAGTAATTGTTCTCTGCTTTGTTGATGGTACGACTTCCATAAGAGATAACTTTTAATTGACCATCTTGCATTTGGCTTAAAACAGCACCAATTGCTCTGTCAGATGCATCAGTATCAAGATAAAATTCACCCTCATCTTTTGGAAAGGCCATTATTTCTGTGCTTGTAAATACACTTTTTAATTTGTCAAAGGCAACTTGGCAGCCTTGTGTCCAATTGAACCCTTTAATTTTCTTTGTTAGTTCTGTAAGTGGTTTCACTAGGGATGAGAAATCTTTTACAAATCTCCTATAATAACTTCCCATGCCTAAAACTTGTCTAACTTCAGTGACAGTTTTGGGAGTAGGCCAAGTTAAAATTTTATAGACATTGTCAGGATTGGGTTGAATTCCTTTATTTGATATAACGTGGACAAGAAAAGTAACTTCAGATTGAAGTAAGTCACATTTTTCTGGTTTTAACTTTAAACCAGCTTTAGAAATTCTATCTAAAATAATATCTAGCCTCTCCATATGTTTTTCAAAGTTTTTACCAAATACAATAATATCATCTAAGTATATGAGACATATTTGCCATTGGAGACCATTTAAAACAAGCTCCATGAGCCTTTGACATTTGACAGGGCCATTACAAACACCAAATGGCATAGTTTTGAACTCATAAAATCCATACTTTGTTGTAAAAGCTGTTTTGGGTCTATCTTCAAGTTTAACAGGAATTTGATGGAATCCACTTATTAGGTCGAAAACGGAGAATAAGTTGGCGCCTGACACAGCATCAAGACAATCTTGTATCCGTGGCAAATGTAGGCATCACAAACAGTCTTAGAATTAA